TTCCGCGTGACTCAGGACCTCGGTAGGGCGTGCACAGACCTGCCTGTCTGCAGCGGGCTGATTTGGCGTGTGTTCCTTGCGACTGGGGACCTCGGCAGGGTGTGGGCAGACCTGCCTGTCTGCAGCAGGGTGATTCGGCGTGTTCCCTGGGACTGGGGACCTCGGCAGGGTGTGGGCAGACCTGCCTGTCTGCAGCGGGCTGATCTTTTTTTTGCTTTTTTGAGATGGGGTCTTGCTTTGTTCTTCAGGCTGGCCCTAAACTCACTATGTAGCCCAGGCTGGCCTCAAACTCATGGCGATTCTCCTGCCTCAGTCTCCTGACTGCTGGGATTATAGGCATGCGCCACCATGCCCAACAGGACACATTAATTTATCAATGAAGATAATGTTCACATGCTTCAGAACATTATTTTGAAAGTAACTCTGAATTTGTAGGTAGTAATGCTGAAAACAAGATTCCCAGAAAACAATTTGAGTTACAACACCAATATTTCCCACATTTTTTGTTGTTGGCTTCTTTTTTGGTACTGGGGATCGAACTCGGGTCCTTGAGCTTGCACAGCAGGTGGCAAAACCACTGAGCTAAATCCCCGGCCCACGTTTTTTGATAAATGAACAATTTATATTTAGGTTAATTTCTTTGTGACAAAACTAAAGACCTATACTAATAAATATTACGCAGATGATAGAAGACCTAAACTTCCTCATCTACATTTTATACTCTGTGGTAATATAATCTCGTTAGAGAAGATGACCAAAATAAGGTAGGCATGGCTCAAATCTATTTCATGCATTTGGATGGGGTGAATCTATCACATAGCTTTTACAGAGATTTCCATAAAAGGACCATTTTAGCTGCTAACTATTCTATTCCTAATTCCACCAAGATGAATCCTAAACCATCTCACTTCTTTTTTGCCCTCTCTTTAAAAATCTCAGCTTGTTTCATTATTATAGCAAGATGATATATTGGCTGATACACTTTTCTTTCATTTTCTTATTTGATTTATAGAGTATATCCTTTTAAAAATCAAGTTTCCACTGACCACATTCATTTCTTTAGAGCAGAAACTCCAAAGTTTCATGTTATTTATTATTAATGTCCAAGTCAATTAGCTGGTAAGAAATAAAACCAAATGTTTTTCAATAAAAAACAAAGCATATAATCTGCCTTCATTATGCCCACCTTCCATATATTCACACATCCTTACCTGTGTTTCTGCACTGCTTAATGAATGAAGATCCAAGGATGGGTCTGTTTTGAGCTCAGGTTCAGGAGCTGCAATTGGGGCCTTTAAAATGATCTCTTCATCAAGGCTGGTTCCAAATTCTATCTCTTTCTGCCCTCTTTCACCTTTTTCTTTATCTGACTCTACCTCTTTGCCTTCTTCCTCAGTGACCTGAGATTTGGGCCTTTTGAGAAATGAGGAGAGCAGTCGAGACAGGCCCCTGCTTTCTGATGTCCGCTCCTTGTTCTTGGTCAAATCTTCATGTGCAGGAGTGTCTCCATTGGATGCTTTCAGCTTCTGCTCACACTGATTCTCTCCCTCAGCTGCTGCTTGGGAACCCTCTTCTGGCTGAGTTTCTTGTTGACCTGAGTTTGTGGCTCCTTCACTTTCCTCCTTCTGCTGTTGATGCTGAGAATTTTCAGCCTCAACCACTAAACTCTTCTCTGTTGTCATGATTTTGCTAGTAAAAAAAATGAAAAGGGGAGCTCTTGTAAGTAAAAGACATTACTGTAAGCAAAAACCCTAAACTCTAAAAAAAGTAAGTACCTAAATCACTAAGAAACAGAATTCCAATCCATTAAACATGAGATTTTTCCATCAAAGAACAAAACTGTTTTACCTATACATCCTGAATGAATTTTTTTTTTTTTTTGATACCAGAGATCGAACTCGGGACCTTGCACTTGCGAGGCAGGCGCCAGAACCAGTGAGCTAAATCCCTGGCTCTGAATGAATTATTAATGCCTTGAGTCACTAAAGATACACACAGAGATTAGCTTAAAGTAATACCCACTGAGGCCACCTTGTGAAATACACCATATACTAAATTTGATGCTCAAAAATTATGTATAGCAAATATAGTTTTATCCTTCCCATAAAAAGGATCTTATTTGTACACTGTTTTTTGAGGGTATCAATCTGAAGGTATAAGATTTACAGGAATTATTCTCTGCAAAATTCTCCACATCCCAAGTGATAATTAAATTTAAAAGTTTCCCAAGTCTTTACTGCTCTTCTTTATATTTCTTAAAATGAACAGACCTCTATAAAGAACAACATATGTAAAAGAGAAAAGGAATTTTAAAAACAAAGACTGGAAGGAAAAAAAATGAAAACAAAGCTTCTGTAAATGGGGAGAGGAAGATGGGTTGAAAGGAGGGAAATGGGAAAATAATAATTAAGATATATTATGTATAGATACAAATTCCCTATGATGAATGTGAGCACTATGTATGGCAAATATATACTAATAAATTGTTTTAAAAGAACAACATTCGTAGAATTTTTATTGTTATCAAACTTGACAACAATGACAAGTACACAGTTAATCACAAAAAAACTCTTTAAGTTTCTATATTGTAATATCAAATCCTGCCCCATCAGAGGTATCTCATTTTTAAGTTCTTTGAAACTATTTTTTAAAAAAAATAGTTTGAAAGCTCAGCATTTTTGAGAGTAGGAAGTGAAATTATTATAATAGGGAAAAACAGAGAAATACAATAAAAAAATTTTAGAAAGTAAATTCTAGTTTTTGTGAATCAGCATGTAGGGGAGGCGAAGTTAAACTGTAGACCTCATGTATTTCAAATTTGCTTGTTTCTGATCTTTTGATCTCAAAATCCTAGTGCTATTTATTAGTCAAGCCTTACAATAAAAACCAGAGTGTGGCACATTTAGTTTACTAAAGAATAACCAACACACAAAGAGACTTATAAAACCCCAGGCAATGAAGTTGACCATCAGTGATTCTACTCTTTGGTTCACTGTTATACCTAGAAGTGCTCCCTGTCTACCACTCAAAATGCAGCATTTACACTATCACTGCAACTTCTCCATACCATTTGGACTATGCAACTTTCTTTGGGTATTGATGATCTAAATTAATGAGCTATGCTTAGTTCTTTTTCTCCTCAGGCCCTTCACATTTGCTGTTCTTTATATGATGCTCTTCTCCTGGCTTCCCCTTCTCATCATTACTCTCTCAGCTCAGATGTTACCTCCCTTAGAGAGGCTTCCCCACACACTCTAGCTAAAAGAGTACTCTTCATTCCCTCAGATAATAACCTCAGAGCACTACTGTATTTATTGTCTGCAATTATCATATTAATTTATTTGTTTACTGGTTTGTAGCCCCCTTTCCCTGTCCTTCCCACCAGCTAAGAGGTTAGTTCCATGAGATCAGGGACTTTGATTGTCTTTTTTTTTTTAATCATCATATATCCAATGCCTAGAATAATACCTGCATAAAATAGGCATTAATAAAAGTTTTTTGAAAGAATTAATTTCAATTGCATATATCTGGCAAATATAAACTGCAAAAGCAGAGCCAGGCATGGTAGCACACACCTGTAATCCCAGCACTCAAGAGGTTGAGTCAGGAGGATCATTGAGTTTGAGGCCACCCTGTGCTATATAGTAAGTTCAAGGCTAGCCTGAACTACATGGTGAGACCGTATCTCAAAAGCACACACACGCTCACTCACAATGTACATTCAAAGGCATTCTCTAAATTTATCCAAGTAAATTTACTTCAAATGCATGATATTCATTCAACAAATACTAATCAAGCACCTAGGACAAGTCTTATGTTGAGTGCTAGGTAATATACCAATAAACAAAACAAACAAGGCCTATGTCATCAAGGAGTTTACATTCTTGATTCCACTTCAACCAGTATAATTAAAGAAATATCTTATTTAAAATATGAACTAAAACTGAAATATGTGTGAATATATGGAACAAAGCAGTAAAGAGGGAAGGAGGCCAATGTGTATTGGGTGCTGTCTCTGTGCCAGGCCCATGTAGGGGTGATACCCACATTATCTCAGTTAAACCTTTCAACAAACCTTTAAGGCAAAAGGAATCAGTTAATCTTAAAACTGAAATTTAAACTCAGAAAGTAATTTAGTGACTAGAGCCATACCATCCTGAACATGCCCATCTCATCTGATCTCAGAAGCTAAGCAGGATTAAACTTCACACAGAAAGAAAATCCAGACAACAAATCTCCGATTATTCTAAGAGTAATGATCTTATTTGAAAGAACCATTTTACTTCATATTTCCTTTGCAAAAATAAGCAAGAAATGCTGAGAGTGCAGCATTATTTCCATAAATTTCAGATATGCTTCATCATTCACCTAAGAAGGAACAGAAACCATTTCTATATTAAAATTTCCATATACAACAAACTTTACACCAAATTCTCTCAAAAATACATGAAAAAGGGCTGGGGATTTAGCTCAGTGGCACAGCACCTGCCTTGCAAGCCCAGTACCAAAAAAAAAAAAATACAGGAAAAATTGCTTTTTGTGGGTTTTAACAGGTATGAAAATAACTTAAACTCCACTTCTTTTTTTTTTTTTTTGGTACCAGGGATGGAACTCGGGTCCTTTAGCTTGCGCAGCAGGCAGCAAAACCACTGAGCTAAATCCCCGGCCTGTTAAACTCCACTTCTAATAGTCTTTTATTTGTATCTTTTGATAGAGTATTTATTCTTGCTTTATAATTTTGTTTTATAATTTTAAAAATTTAAAAAATCTTCTAAGATATTTATATAACTCCTTTCACACAAAAAGGTTCTTGTAAGAAAGTAACTGAATGAATGGAAGTATTCTTTGGTTGTTAATATATACACATAAACCCGGATGGTAACAATCCATGTGCTATATGTATGCTTGTTAAATTTTTTTTTTGGGGGGGGGGTACCTGGAATCAAACTCAGGACCTTGCACTTAAGACGCAAGTGACAGAACCACTGAGCTAAATCCCTGGCCCCGTGCTTGTTAAATTTTAATGTGTATCAAACCACCTAGCTATCTTAAAACACAGATTCTGATTCAACCAGTTTGGAATGGAGCCTGAGATTCTGCCTTTCCAATGATGCTGGCCACTGACAACACTTCGAGTAGCAAGGCACAGAAAATCACAATCACAATCATTATGGGAATATACCTCAAAGTGCATAAGGAAAAAAAATGGCAAAAAGCTGGGTTTAGGAGGTGGGACATGAACAGTGGAAAATACAAATAACAAATGCTCAACAAATGCTTGTTGAATGAATGAATGAAACAAAAAATGCAACAAGTTATTAAATGTGGAAGCTGAACCATTAACATTTTTCTGAAATTCTTTTTTTTTAATCAGACCTGACAATTTTTAAGCATAGAACTATGGCAATTCCAAGTTTCCCAAGCAGCCATGACACTTGCTCAGATTCACTGTTTTGAGTATCTCCATTGATATGATCTCTTTGGCACATTTAGTTGGGCATATGTTAAAAACAAAACAAGCAGACCATAAGTAAAAGAACAGATGAAAGAAAGTACAATATAAGAAACAGACACAAGCAGAAGGCCAAAAGAATTCTATTAGAAAGTACTGAAACAACCTCAGGCAATACCATATATTAAATGCTAGAAGGGGCCGGGGATTTAGCTCAGTGGTTCCAGCGCCTGCCTCACAAGTGCAAGGTCCCAAGTTCAATCCCCGGTACCAAAAATAAATAAATAAATAAATAAATGCTAGAAAACAGGAATTCAAACAATTCAGTAATCAGCAGTTGGTACACAGTATACACAGAAAAATAAATAAATATGGAAGGAGAGTTTGCACATGTGTTCCTCCCATCCACGCATACATGGGTAGCAATGCTATCAGTAAGAGTGAGAAGGCAGGGAAGGGAAAAAAGAAGGGACTATGAGAGTCAGAGAGATGGAGGGGAATAGAGAAACTTGAAACTGATAAACCATATAATTAAAACAGATAAAATCAATAATCTTCAGTTACCTCTAAGGTTGATCTAAACAAATTTTTTAAATACCAAAAAGAAAGAGTTATGGACTACTTATGAAAAACTTAAATAAGCTTGTTTTTATAAATCAATCACACATACAATCAAGTTCTTCACATACAAATGTTAGGATAGGTAACCAGAGAAATATACAAATAAGTCAAGCAGTAAAAATAGGATAAATGCTCTACAACAGACTCTTTCTGTGTAAATGATACTGTTTTTATTCTGGATACAAACTCCAAAACAAAATATATATTTAACTTAATGTCAAAAGAGGTCTTTTGTTTAAAAAAAAAAAATCTACACAGCACTGAAGACAAAGTGATGAGTTCCCATTCCATCTCAATCCTAATCTTCCAAATCCTAAGAGTTATATCCCATGTGGGATCAAAGATACACTTGTTTTAATAGTTTGCATCTGTTAACTTTGGGCAAATCAGATTTTTTTTTTTTTTTTCTTTTTGGTACCGGGGATCGAACTCCAGCCCTTGCGCTTGTGCAGCAGGCGGTGAAACTATTGAGCTAAATCCCCGGCCCCTAAATCAGATCTTTTAAAACCCTATACTGAGCAGATTGGAAAAGGTCAAATGAGATCTTTTATCTTTTTTTTAAAATCTCTTTCTAACATCAATACAATCAATGTTACATTAATGCTTCCTAGGTGGA